CGTTTATCACAATAATCACTGTCACAATCGCAACGCATCTTTTGTTCTTAATGCACTATTTTGAGCAAAACCTTGTAATAAATAGCATAGTTAAATTTTATGAGCACAACCATCTAATAAATTGTTTGTTAAACTTAATTGTTTTAAATAAAGTTACTCCTAACCATCTAATTAAACAATGTTTATAAAAACTTATGCATTTTTGATATAGTTTAATTTGGTTTATATTAAAATAACATGTTGTAATTAATATAACGACAAAATTACATGTACTTAGTTTGAAATAAACTACAAAAAATATGAGTGTCCTGTTCTGATGCTACCCGACATTAGAAAATGGTGTCATTTTACGAGCAAAAATTTGACATAAATTGTTAATTAAATTCATTATATCAAAAAATCGTATTCCGGTGTTTTGATTAATTTTCTACCAAATCATTAAAATTAATTTTTTAAATAAAACTAATTAATTTTTAATCACAGTTAATTTGGTTTATATTAAAATAAGTATATTGTAATTAATGTAACAAAATATTGGGTTGTCCGGAAAATAATGCAGGATTTTGGTATTAAACAAAAAAAAAGAAACTAGTTACTTTAAAGCAATGTTCTTTAATCAAAATAATTTCCCATACTCTCAATACATTTCTCCCAACGTGTTGGTAACTTATTAATTCCGTCTGAGTAGAATTCAGAATTTTTAGAATTGATAAAGTCAATAAATGCATTTTACAGTTCCGTTTGATTTTTGAATATTATGTGTTGTAAGTAGTGGTCCAGGTGTCTAAAAAAATGGTAGTCAGTAGGCGAGAGGTCCGGAGAGTAGGGTGGGTGAGGCAAAGTTTCATAGCCAAGCTCCAATAATTTTTGTGACGTTACACGTGACACATGTGGTCGAGCGTTGTCATGCAACAAAATGGGCCCTTTCCGATTGACCAAAGAGGGCTTCATTACTGCCAATTTCTGATGCATGGTATTAATTTGGTTACAGTATGATTCAGCATTGATGGTTTCGCCAGGATTTAAGAAGCTGTAGTGTATTAAACCAAATGAAGCCCACCATACCGTAACCATTACCTTTTTTTGATGAGTTGGGGGCTTTGGAAAATGTATTGGAGCTTCTCCTTTGTCGAGCCACTGTCCAGAACGTCTAGTGTTATCGTAGAGAATCCACTTTTCGTCACATGTAACAATTCTGGCCAGAAATGGGTCATTTTTGTTTCGACAAAGAAGTGATGCACAAACATCAAAGCGCTGATTTTTTTGGCGATCGTTTAATGAGTGTGGAACCCAATTTTCGAGTTTTTTCACTTTTCCAATCGCCTTGAGGTGGTCAGCGACGGTCGTTTTACTGACTTTGAGTTGCTCTGCAAGTTCTCGAACAGTTGTTTTGGGGTTTTCTTCCACCACTGATCGCAGAACATCATCATTAAGAGAGGAAGGCCTTCCACGACCTTCTTCATCTTCAAGGCTGAAATCTCCCTCCCGAAATTTTTTAAACCACCTTTGCACAGTGCACTCATTAACACAACCCTCGCCCCAGACTTGGTTAATGTTTCTAGCCGTTTGGGCTCCGCTTCGGCCGAGTTTAAACTCGTAAAAGAAAATCGTACGAAATTCTCGCTTTGACATTATAAGGATGACTGAATTATTTCCAAGTAGCGGAATGCTACAGAGGTAAACAAACAATATCATTTGGAAGAGGATTAATAAGTGTTGACATTCATACAAATGAGTAATCCTGTAAACGTAAACAGAATATTTTATATAGATTTTTTTTAATGAAAACTTAAAATCCTGCATTATTTTCCGGACAACCCGATAATATATGTAGTTTGAATAAAAATATGAGTGTCCGGTTCTTTTGTCTTCGACTGTATTCGATGCGACCCGACGAAAATCTGGACAGTTTGGATCGCAGAGCGTCGGGTAGATGTGCACCTTATGGAAAATCGGAGTTTGGATTTGCGTCGGGTAGCATCGGGTAAGTGTGTTTCTGGCTTTAGCAATATAAAAGGCTTTAGAATATGTTGCAGGTTTGAACTACTCGAAGATCTGCATCCATACGGAGAGAGCACTGTCTCTCAGCCACAAAACTTCAGAATGTGGACCGGTAATTACGAACATATCCGAGTAGACATTGTGCAAAACATATGTAGCCTCACTCAGGAAGACGATATAATATCACTCTGCTGGGTCAAGGGACACGCAGGAGTTAATTTTAATGAGGAAGGTGATAGATTGATAGACCGGTGCAAACTTAGAAACGGCAGTCACGAGAGGCGACTTCCAATCTGAAAGTAAACGTTTAATATTGAAATGGCAAGAAACTTATGACTCTGCGGTGGCGGAGAAATATTACAGATTGTTATTTCCTAAATTGTTGAATAGGCCATGGTTTGGCCGCACAGGGAAGAATGTTTCGCCACTGTCATGCGTTTGAGAACGCGGCATGGCATTTGCGGGGTATATTTGAATAGATTCGACTGGAGACCAATCCCCAACTGGAGCACAAGCGACATGTACGAAGACATGGAACATACATTCTTTCTAAGTATGGAACATGATGACCAAAGGCAACGGCATTTCCAATCTTTTATGAAATGTCAGGAGATTGTCAAACCTTTCAATTTTAACACAATTGAGGTATCAGCCTGTTTTTCACCTCATGTTCAATTTTTTTAGAGAGTGAAAACTGGAGGTTTAAGACAGTTAGCAGATGGGGGCGGGTAGCTGTGGTCGTTAGGGGCCTGGGTCCCGTGGAAGGACATGGGCATGTTTGCCCCAGTGACGTTCGGGATGTGGATTTTTTCATGCCAATCTAGATGTAATGGTTTTTATCGACATCCCCGAACGGGTCACAGTACTAAAATAAGATATGAAGAGGTGTCCCCTCCTCCTCCAGCTGCGGGCCGTCGTTGTCGGAGTCTGGGTTCCTTGTGGCCGGGGCGTCCGTCATACCTGCAAAATCACTGTGGCCGGATATTAGAGGATAAGGCAAAAAAAAAAAAAAAAATCAAATATTTAAAATAGTCTTTCGCTCAAGTCGGTCAGTTGTCTGTTATGGTGCTCTATTCTGTGGTTTTCAGCAATATGAGACTTGAAAAATTTCAGCAAACTTCCGTAACATCGGTCACCCCAAACTCTGTCGGGCATTGAAACTGCCTCTATTTTCCTTTACTCTCTCACTTCATATAAAATGCCGTTTAAATCTTCTTTCAGATTTTCCCAAAATGATTGTTCTTCCCTTATTAGAAAAGAACGCCTTTTAGTTCAAAGAGTAGATATCTTTGTCCCAAAAATATTCTGGTCATTTCTTAAATAGAACATTGTCTGCTCAATTATCACTGCTCATATCTATTTTTTTAAATTTTTTATTTGTAGCTGATATGTATTTGTAAATAGAATAAAAATGTGATCACAGTAGGTGTTTATTTACATGGAGGACAATGTCATGAGAAACCAGCAAATGCTGGCACTCAGCGTGAGGGATTAAGGGGCAAGGAGGTCTCGATGTACTTTCAAACATCCTCTACTGTCCATGTATATATTTCTCTCTTACGCTTCATGAAGTACAGTTGTCATAAATCAAATACGAATAGGAATGTTTCGGTTCTTCTTTTTTCCTACAAGGTTAAAACTTCCAAGGATATTTCTTGTCAAAGTCGGCAAGCGTGCATCAAAGGCGTTTCAGACTCGATTTTACCCAAGGATTATCAAAACGTTAGTTTCTTTGGGTTATTACATGGTGAAACAAACAGACTGCAGGTTACACAGACATGTTTCCAAACGACACGACCGCATTAATTGAGGCTTGAGGACTAGAGCCGGCAAAGGGGGACACTCGTGACTCGAAAGGTCATCCTCCGGAGTTGCACAAGGCGAACAAACCAGGATGGCATGGAGATCTCTTATCTCCAGACAGGAGTCGGAACTTCTTCAGTAGTTACGTTGCAAAAAAAGTTAGGTGCAATTACGGACGATAAGAACGCTTCCGGTTCTTCCAATGTTTAATACACATCAAGTAAACATCCAAAGGTTATGATTACCCAATATGTAACATTACGTGTTCATTTTTTTTTTTTTTCAATTTTAATGTATGAGCGTTATCCATACAATATGAAGTAATTATCATCCATCTGTGTTGACCCACTTGTTCATGTCTTAACTGTTGGCATATTTAGAGTCGATACCGTTGGTATATTTTCGTAGATAGGTTTAATTGCACAAGTTCTTATGTGTCATGTTCACATACGTGGGTCGAAAACGAAAACAAAAAAATGGGCCCGACTCGACCTTCGAACAGCTTGAAAACAATCTCGTGTCGAGTTTGATGGATGGCTTCACTGGCCTGCCCATATTAGCTCAGATGATTTCGTCTCATTTCATAAAGGCTAACAAATTTCAATCTTGAAACCACTTTTATTTAATTTTGTTATAGTTGACAGAATGATTTATTGTGAGTCGAATCTGTCAAAATGAGATTTAGATGTATGTATGTGTCAGGATGTATTCTGTACTTTAAAAATCATTACAGCAAAATCATTCCAGGTGAACAATAGAAAACATATTGGGCATTAAACTGACACAGTAATATTAAACCAATTAAACGGGCTGTACATTAAAAAATTTTAAGTACAAATTATATGTATATGGATATTATAAAGATGTCAGAACACTCTTACAGGTGAATGATGCTGATGATATTACATTAAATTAGTATTTACCTTAAGTAAGAAGGAGGCTGGGTTTGAAATTAACATCTTATAACACAAAATGGTTTATTTTTAAAAATAAACAGAAAATACAAACTAAACTTTTGTTTCAAATAGAAAAAATTAATTGATACACAAAGGATTTTTAGACGAATAGCCTCAACAATCCTTACTTTCCCACTTGTTATGAATTGAATTCACCCCTCGACAACCACAGAGGAGTGTCTCACCATTCCACACTAAAGAACAATATCAGGACATCTTACACTATACAGGTAGTCGTGGGTCTTAAGTTTAATTGAGTAAAATAAATAACGATGTCGATCGTTTTGAAGGACTAGGTATTTTTTTCGGGATCGTTTATTTTAGAGGGCGAGCGAGTGTCCCCTGAGGAAAGCGTCGATTTGGCCATTTGAAAGAGATGTTCTGTCACCGGATGGAGCGACGAAGAAGAAAGGTTGTTGCGGAGGAGGAGGAGGAGGAGGGCGGTGGAACTGCTTGGACGGCCCTGGGGTGAACCTCTGAGGTTCTTGCTGGAGGAGGGACGCCGGGAATCTCTGCGGTTTGGTCTCCTGCTGTTTCTTCTGTTGAGCGGCGAATAACTGTTGCGATTGCTGAAGGAGGGCGGATTGCTGCTGTTGGAAGAGCTGCTGTTGGGTCGGCGGATGGAAGGGGTGGGAAGGCGGTGGACCCGGTCTCGGACTGAACGGTCTGGGCTGGAAGAAAGGCTGGGGTTGCGGGTTGTGGACGTAAGGTTGGAGCCTTCCTCTCAAGTTGAATTCTCCCTGGCTTTGAGGCAATTGTTGGTAAAGTACGGTGTTGTACTGGCCCGAGCTGGGGTCGAAAACAAGTTCGGAAGTATAGATGGGGCTTCCTGACAGCGCTTTGGGAGTGTGCGCCTGCGATGGTCGGGGTGTCGACACGACGTTGTGTTCCAATTGGAAATTTTTCAATTCTTCGTCTAAGTCGAGAGATGGCTGGGGCCTCTTTTTCGCCGAAGCGGGAGTGACGGTCGAAAGGCGTACTAGTTGAGGCCTGTAGGTAGTCGCGGGGGGTTGGGTCGGCCTAGGAGTAATTGACACTTGTTGAGGTGAAGGTCTCGGCTGACTTGTCACGATCAACTTGGGTCTCTGCGTTGCTCTCAAAACCTGCGGTTGGACTTGTTCTTCCAACTGAGCGAAGCTGGGAACCGGAAAGTTCCTCACCGGGGAAGGAGTCGTAGGCCTAGGCCTGTGAGTCGGCAATACCGGGACGTTTTCCTCCTCGTCCTCTTCAGAATCTTTATTGTAGTCCTGTTGGAAAACGGTCTGAGTAGGCCTTGGTCGAGATGTCGGCGCTGGTCGGGATTTCACCAATTGTGGTCTTCTGAGGGGAAAATTCTGTGGGATGTTCTGAGGGACGTTTTCTTCTCCTGAAGGGACGTCTTCTTCTTCCTCTTCGCTCTGGACGGCGTTAGGATCGCAAGGGTTACCAGATACATAAGTAAATTCCCTTTTGTTGCCATCAGGGTCGATGTAGCCATATTTCCCTCTCACGACACAATCGGTTCCTCTCGTTTCCTCTTTGAAACTACCGTCGGCGGCCTCGTAACCGAACGTGAAAGATCCGTCGTCGTTCAGTTTGTTATAATTCCTTATAGTCTGAACCGGTGGCGCCTTGGCGGATACAGATTTTAGTTTGGGCTGGAGTCTAGGCTGACCGTTAGCCCTGCCGTAAGTGTCCTGCCTGGATACCAAAACCGGCCCTTGGTCTTCTTCTTGTTCCGCGTAATATTCCACTTGTTGAGGCGCATCTTCCAACGAATCCGCCGACGATACGGGTCTCACCCTGACACGTCTACCCTCCGCGAAAACCGCCAGGCTCACCAACTAAAACAGAAAACAAAAAAAACTTGTTAACCATGTGCAAGGAAATAAAAGCAAAAAAGTGTTTACCCTTGAGACGATCTGAATAGCATAATCATTAAGTTATTTCTAAAGCAAGGTCAGTCGAACTATCGCCGGTCGAAAGTTGTAATACCTGTATAAACTCTAAACGTCAAAAGTTGTTATACGCTTGTTATTTTGTGCTAAACTGTTAAAGTGGTCCACCTTTATACCTCTCCATTTAGCTTCAACCTTTCAGCAGTGCGATTCATCTTCGACCAATTCAACTCGGCTGTGACGCCAGGCTCTTTGGTTTTCTATTTAAAATCCCCCACTATTTAATAACCTAATTCAAAAGGATATATTGCAAGAACGAATTCCAATCAAAGCACAACATACAATTTTCTAGTTTATTTATAACGTTCATTACGTTCTTGGGACGTAATTACACAAAATGTAGTCATAAAATTGCTGAAGTTCTCCAAGGTATATGTTTTGAATGTAAGCAAAAAATTTTAAACGACTATATTCGTTTAATAACAGATTACATCAAAATGATCTCACTGGTTATAGGGCTCACTGATCTAACCCTTCGCAGGCAAAAAGCTAGAAATATGAGAATCAGTGTAGTCCAAGAAACAAATCTTGCAATAAAAATTAACAGTAATAAACAGAAAACATACATAACGTTAAGATTTTCTGTATTTCTTCGCTGCTGTCGGACAGCACTGAAGAAAAACCATTTGAATTAGGAATTTTTGTTATTGAACTGGTTAATCGAACAGTTAAATTTTCTGCGGAAATTTCGACCTTGCTTTCAGAGAGATTTGCTTGTCCCGATGAATTTTTTCAATCCGGTTTCGAAATTATCTTTTTTTCCCACAACCCCCTGATTTAATACCGGTCTATGCAAAATTACAAATAAACGAGGAGGATCGGTTGAGTCACCACCCGGCCCCGAGGGGCGCGGCGGACCTCTGAGGAGTGCGTGCTCTTTTAAAACGAGGCGTAGAAAAGCGCCCTTGAAACCCACCTTGCAAAGTCCGACGATATTAACGTGCAAGAGAACAATTAGGCGCTTTCTAACTTTTGTTCTAGACTTGGCGAATGACGAATACCCCACCAGGATATGAACCAGGTTATATAATTCTCGTAACAATCAGTGCAACAGGGACGATATCTAATCCAATTTAGTTCTTTCTCGTTTTCTCTTTTTTTACCAAGATGAAAACAGCCTGAGGATCGATTGGGACAGCTTAAAATTAGATTTAAGAGGATAACACGTAAGAATATGGAGTTTTACCCGTTTAATTTGTTTCAGATTGATTTCATTCGATTTTATCCCTATAATGACAAACGACTCTTTTTTAACAAGTAAAATTTACCGAAGAGAAATGACAGCTACAATTTGATATATTCAAATGTAGTTGGTATACAGGGTGTTGTCTTTTCTTTCTCTCTTGAACCGATGACGTTATTAAAAAAACAAAAAACTTGTTGAATACTACAATTTAGTCTAGTTTCAAATTTTTACCTCTTTTGGAGAAAAATTATACAGGGTACCTCAGAAAATTATACAGTTCAACTTCAAAATTTCAAATACCACCCTATACATCCTGACATATCATTTTAAAGGAATTATTAGGCTGAAAATAATTGTGCAATTGGATTTTAAATTGGAGAAAAAATGACAAAGCTACTGCAAAAAGTAAAAAAAAAACTTTTTTTACGAGGGTTCGAAACAGCAGATTTCATATAAACCCTCAGGGTGCATGCAGGGCCGCTAGATTCGAACCTGGGACCTTTACCTTACCGTGATGGGCGCCGTGTCAACGCCCAAACCGTTGCTGTCACCGACGCCCCCGTTTACTATTGACTAATCACATTTCAGGTTTGAACTTGAACTAAATAAAGATGCAAAGATTTGTTCTTTTTAACCACTTTTCACCGGTTCTCCAAGTGATAGAGTCAGCGGAGATGGATCGACAAACATTTCCTATCCTTTGCCGCAGTTCTTCAACTGAGGTTGCTGGTTATGTTTTTTAAATGGCCCCACAGAAAATAGTCAAGTGGAGTTAAATCGGGTGACCGAGGAAGCCAACACGATCGGGCCATACGGTCATATCCACCTATTCCGGAAGTCAAACCTTCCTCAAAAAATTTGGTGCACACCATTTAAATTATTTTCGTAGAAATAAGGCCCAATTAACTTATTTTCGAGAAGTCCAAGCTAAACGTTGTTACTGTGTACCGCCTGATGATGACAAGAGTACAAAATTGTCGGAGTTTCCTCTGCCCACGTTTGTATTAGAGCTGAACTCACTCAGGATTCATCAGTCCGTAGGATGGATGGAAGAAAGTTTTCTTCAGCCTCCCAAATCGATATTTGAGCAAGACGCCTGTCATAATCAGAATCCGAAATTCCCTGGACAAGATGATAGCGGTACGGCTTAAAATTGTAAGTCCGGAGTACATATCTAATTTTATTTTTTGAAAAACATAAAACCTTCCAACATTTCGGAGAGAAGAATTCGCATTTTCGCCAACATAAAATAAAATATTCGGCTCCTCGTACATCGCACATCAACTGATCCGTATCTCCTCATATTGCGAGCAACACGAATTTGTGGTTTACTCTGGGGCGATCAGGAAATATCTGGAAGTACAAGTGAACTGCACTATGTGCTTGCAATGTCACCACTATCAGTAAAGCAGTCGTACTTACTCGCTGTTGATCGGAAAAATGTGCTCTTCGGTTCATTTTGAACGAATACTGAATTCAACGATTAAGTAGTATTGTCAAATTGTTTTACTTCCAGGAATTAAGATTTGCTCTCATAATGCGAATGTCACAAACAATAATGTAATGTAAACATGCCACAAACAATAAAGGCAATTGAAGGTGTAACTTTAGTGAAGAAGCAAATCATTGGAATAAACAATGAAACAAACGAAACGCGTTTTTTCAAAATATCTGCCATAACTTTGTCATTTTTGACCAATTTAAAAGCCAATTGCACCATTGTTTTCAGCGTAAAAAATCCTTTGAAATGATGTGTCAAGATATGTAGGTTCCTATTTGAAATTTTGAAGTTGAACTGGGTCAGAGGTACCCTGTATAATTGTTCTCCAAAAAAAAAGGTTAAAATTTGAAACTAGACTAAAAAATATAAACAAATATTTAAAAAAAAATATTTTGATTGCAAAATTGGTTCAAGAGAAATCAAGCCAGACCATCTAAAAAAGAAATAGCATTTGTTGACATGAAATTGGAATATCTAAACGCACAAGTTTAAAACAGGACTAGTGGGAAGCAATTGAAAATGGAACAATTCCAACTAAACCATTTATTTTTTACAAATGAACTAAATTTGTATGTTTCATAAGCAAGCGCATAATTCAAGATCGGTCTATCTTAAATGAAATTTGAGTAAAGACAAACAAATAGGAGAAATTTTAGAACTTTTAACTACACTATTGGTCAATTTAGCTTTGCCAACACTGCTTATTTTGCTTTATGTTTTACTATGAGGTGTGTCGAAATTTCACTAAATTCAATTTTACGATTTTGGTTGAATTTTTATTGCTATTAAGCGTGCAGGATTTCAGGTATCGATGATCATTTCTGGTAAAGTGTATGAACATAATTTTAAATTAGAATGAGCATAAAACTATTTAATTTATTAACCTCGATGTACCATGCTATTTATTGTCTTCAGTAGTTATTTCATGTTCTTCATGATAAGTGTGAATGTTTTCTGGCCAAGATGACAAATAAAGTTGTACATATCTGATCTTTTTTTCGCTTTGATTTTATACTGTGTTTTTTTCTTGCATGATTTACAACATTTAAGGGAAATAATGGGTTTTTTTAAGTATGTGTCAAGTATAAAGGTAATTGGACATTTCCATCTAGACGAACTTAAAAGCTTGAACTACTCCCTTGTTCGTTATCGTTTTGGTTGCAATTTTTTTTAAATTGAGTTTGTATCGCATTTTTGAGTATAATGTGGGATGGAGTATAATGTGTGTGGTTTCTAATTTAATTGTGTATTTATGACATTGTATTTTCATGTGACAGTATTAAATCTACTCATGGACGTACACTTGTCACTTTCAACACGCACTTTATTATTGACGATCTCCAACAGAACAATTTAAATTTATTTTCGACTTCTTTATGATTTTACGTGCTAGTTAACGTGCTATGAACTAATTGCACGCGAAAATCTGTGAATTTATGGAATCGTGTGACAGTCTTAAATCTACTCATTGACGTACACTTGTCAATTGAACACGCAAGAGTGTGTGTGTGTGTGTGTGTGTGTGTGTGTTACATATTAGTGTAAACCTCTTCTATTAAAACTTTCATTTAAGAAGAAACAAAAACAAATTATTTGTATGCTTTTGATGTTTGTTTCACATGGTGTACGTGAACTATTCTAATTTAGTAATAATTTATTTGTATACAGCCAAAGTTTTCTTGTCTTATATTTTTTATACTTGCACATTTCCATTTAATTTTTAATTCTTGATAAATAAAATTGCCATATACGTGGACCAAATGAAACAGTCATGTTTTAATTTTCTTCACTTGCATTAAAATAACAAAAAACTCGAGGGCCAACACACTGACCCACAGTGAGGTTGGTGCAATGTCTAATCAAATGACGATGGCTGGCGGATAAACCAAATAAACCAAAATAGACCGAAATGTTTGAAATTTTTCAACAACTTTCGGACCAAACAATCGATCACTGAAAAATTGTTATCTAGTAGAAATACCTTACCAAAAATTGTTCACCCTGTAACGCTTTTTCCCCCCTAGGAAAATATATCCTAGCGCAAGGTCTTATCAAATTGAAAGTATCGGACTTTCACCTCATTCGCACACAGCTAAATAAACGAAAGTTGTTGGAAGGCTAAATAAATTTTCCGCTCACGAAGACAGATACAATTAAACGCGAAACTGCCTAGATTTGATAAAAATCAGGATATTATTA